AGCAGACGAATATTTCGAGTACTCGATATGGGCGCTCGGCTCGAGTTTCTCAAGTTTGTCTCCTGTGAGAGCTATCTGGTTTCCCGACATAGTACACAACAATTGAATCGAAGCATTTTGACGCCTAATCAATAGATAGAGACCATTGGGAGAAAGAAATAGGTCCGATATAGTCGAGCATATTTCTGAGGTAGCATCCGTTGGTGGATATTTTGATGGATGCAATTTGAAGAATGTAAATGATTGATCCAAGTGACCACGATCGGTGATATTGATAATAGTCAAATGCATCCAGGAGATATCTAGGAACACCAAACCCTCTGGTTTGGTCCATGGGTACGACTGTGAACAGTGGAGTGAGGTTGGGTCCAATCTTGCCACGCCATCATGAGTTACAATAGCGATTTCGTCCTTTGTAGGGGAAATGAACACATTGAGTGGGATCAGAGGAGATATTTGCTTGACACATCCATCAGATTGATTGATGGCATAGATGGATTTATCAGTCTCAATGAGTATCCTTTGCCCGTCTTGGAAAAATGATACATGGAGGATTCGGTCCGTAGATTGGTGCCATAACTGTGTTCCATCATCTGAGGACAGTAAGACCACTAAATGTGAGCTTGAGAAAGGGCTTTGTGTGTCCATGCAAGTATATAAGATGGTCGTTGTATCAGGTGAGAAGCAAACATGGCCAGGCTCTCCCTGTTCCCGAGCAGAAAGAAATTTTATAAAGCATCGACGTCTGGAGAAACATGTCCAAACCTCAAGGATCCGTCGTGACCATCCAACGACCTTTTCCCCCACTCCAAGCGAAAAAATCCACTTGTAATTTCCTAAATAGGCTGCAAGCTCGAAACTGTCGATTTGATCCCCATCATTGAATATGTTTAGAGAGTATTGTCTGATCGATCCAGTATGAACTTCCTCGGAAATTGCCTTGCTATGATCGTTTGCCCACCATTTGAATGCCCTTTCGGATTCCAATGCAACTTCTTGCAACAAGGCACAAGGCTCAGTCGTCATATCCCATCTACACAGCATTTGACATTTGCATCTAGTCCGCAATTCCATGTCATTGGCACTTTGATCGAACGCTATGTAGTAAACAGAGCATCCTACGCTCCCGCAAGGATGAATGGTCACTGCACCATCGGCCGTCCGTACGTCCCAAATTGCGAACACTGCCCGATCATTCGAACTTCCACCCGTTGCAAACCATTTCCCACACTTTGAGAGACACTGTGTTTCTATTCTATGTGGCTGAATAACTACTTCAGATGGCCAGTCTAGCTCCGGGCCTATGGATGCGACAATATGAGGGAAAGGCGATGAACGTGAGTATATCTGCTGGAAAATACTCGAAAAAGGGGACAAAGTAGCATAATGATAGACAGAGAAAGGATTGTCTTGAATGGTATTCCAGTGAGCACGCAGAAATCGCATTACGTCCATAGACCATTTCGAGATATTCTCATTCTCAAAAAGAGTTAGTACGAAAGAAACTGAGTATCATACACTTACA